TTTTGGGGGGGTGGGGGGGGTGTTTAATTAAAGACAGCATTACAAACTCTGCATTTAGACATGGGTTTTTAAACTTTGAAGACCACTGCTCTAGTTCTCTACAAAGAGAAAGGTTTTTAACACTAGTTAGAAAGCATCTTGAAATACCAGTTAGATGTACTTACTAAGAATCTCAAATAACGATCATTAATTTCATTACTTTTGCCTTCCCAAATAATCTAGCAGCATGCTCCTTCATTAATATAGCCACTGTTTTCAGTTATTTATTTATAAGCCTTCAGCTTCAGTTAGCAAGGTCATCCACAGGTGTGTGAATGCACAGTAGGAACTCCAGTATTCAACTTGCAACACTCTTTGCAGTGAACTGGGAAGGCTGCCTTATGCAACTCTGCAACTCTCTCTTTAAAAAAAGAAATTCCACATAAAAGCCTCTATGCTTCTTCCCCTTTCATCAATATCTATCTTACCTTTGTCCCTCCTTCCTCTACAACCAGAGGAAACCCATTTGTAATAATCTGGTTAGATAATGATCTCTTCATTATCTACGTTTTTAGTTTAGTTTACGTTTTTCCTGAGAGCAATAGATACGTTTAATTTGTCATCCCTGCTGTGCTCTTAACTGTTTGTTGTTTTGTTTTTTTTTTTAAAGTCACCAGTACTAATATATTCAATTAGAAGATTTTATATATGATGAAATTTATACAAAGGCTGGCTAGCTCAATTTAAACATAAAAAAAATAAACAGTCCTGAAAGAAAGTGCCCACATTCTCAATATTGATCTCTTCCTGGGTTAGTATGCAGCAATTTTGCCCCTCATTTGCAACAGTAGTCCCCTGATCCCACAGCTGCTCCAGGGAGATAAGCCAGCAGTAAGCTATTTCTGTAGGTAGACATCTACCTGTTCAGCTACTCACATCAGCACACTACACAATCAAGTGAGCTGATCTGCTGGCATACAGGAGAAAACGAAACTACGTGATCAGGGCAGTTGCACCTCCTGACTTCAATTACCTTGAACTGTCGTGGTATCCCACCTTAAATGGAGAACTGTAACTTCTACTCATAACAAAAATGTGCAACTTCAGCTTATGAGTAGATGTTGGGTTTGTGGGTAATACCGATAGCAAAACACCCCTCCACTACACAGCAACATAAATCTGACAACATTATAAATACCCAACTATGAATAGCTTAACATTATGTGTTTGGGACTAATCTTAAACTGATGCTGCTAAACTGTGATCTTTGGTGGAATTTGCGTTGCCTTCTAACAGAATACCCAAGGAGAATTCAGTATAATTTATAACTTGGTAGCTCACTATTATCTGGTATGGTCATCACCAGAGACTGCTGCTATTTCTGTATTAGTGTAGCTGATAAAGAAAGCATGAGTTGAAATTTTTAACTAATGATTAAAAAAAAGAATATGAAGAAACTAATAACAGGTTGGTTTTTAGCAGTCATCCTGGAGCTTTGATTTTGTGTGTCTGCCCTTCTTAGGCAACAGGGCTCACCCATGTTACTCTTCTAGTAATATTCCACAGGTATTTCCCCTCCACGCCCAGAACAAAAGCTAACAATGGACATTATTGTCTGTATAATTTCAATTGCAAGTTTCAAGTTTTTCCATCTTAGCACATAATTTTATCTATGGAATGGGCAGAGTTTACCTTTAGATAACTCTCCACTACGAATAGGCAGAAGTACTAAGTCACATTAGTTTATACCAGGAGAGCTTTCAGATATTTTGTCTGCCTAACTTGCCAACGAGGCAGCAGATTTTCAGATTACCCAAAATTCCAGACCTACAAATGCACAAATAAGTTGCAATATTGCCAATTTGCAAATTTCCCCTTAGATGCTATTTCATAAGAGATCATTCTATTATCTAGTGGAAGAGCAAGCAACCTATCTACCTAATACAAGAGTCAGTCGATTATCTTTCAATATACACACCTATAATGGTGAATATCTTCAAAAGACTTTGTATTGTTTATAGCAAATACACACAGGAAGCCTTCCCCTGTTCTCATATATTGATCCCTCATTGCACTGTATTCTTCTTGACCTGCTGTATCAAGAATATCCAAGAGACAGGTTTCTCCATCAATTACTACTTGCTTCCTGTAGGAATCCTAAGAAAAGAAAAACACAAACCTTGGTTAAACACAAACAAGTAAGATTTCAAACACCTGTAACTCAGGAGATACTAAAGTTCTTTACTAGTAATCAAGCATGACTGAAAACACTTAAGAGTTAAAAACCCAACTTTACAGATGGGCAAATGACAGTAGGAAAATAGCGTCCCATATTTACACGTATACAGTAATCCAGAAGTGGAAAGAGCACTGAAGAGACATGTTATTATCTGTATTCTGAGTCTTCAGTGAGTAACAGTGTATGTGTGCGCGCGCGCACACACAGAAAAAGGACAGTGTTATTTTGCACAAAAGGACAAAAAGTACAAATTGGATCCAGATCAAAAGCATCTCCCCTTTGTCTCTGTTAATAGGAGAACTGAAAACCAGGATTACAAGTTTCTTAAAAGGTTTGACTTTGTTTAAGCTTACTCAATTTATCAATTTTTTTTTTTTTTTAAGTAAAATTTGACCTTCATTCTATGGATGTTTACAAAAGCTTTGTGCCACAACTATGTACTAAATAACATAGAAAGAGTTCACAAGTAAGATAACTCCAAAAATCCATGCCACTGAAAAGGAAATGAAGTATAAAAAGCCTTCAGTGTTTGGGACAGGAAATCTGTTTTGTATGCCTGAGCAGGTGCATATAATGGTATTTGTTATTAAGTTATCAAAGTTGAGTTGATATATTTGAAGCTCAAGCTTTTTAGCCAAGACAGACCAACACCAGAGTCATATAAAAGCCCTGATGAGTTGGTTCAGAGAGATATTGGAACAAATTATTTCAGTGCTATTAATTCAAAGTTTTCAGGTCACTGATTCAACGGGCTAAAATCTGTATAAGTCCCAAGCAACTAGATACTAATGTCTATTTACAGCACTTTCCTGTGCTAGGCTTCTATGAGTACATAGTTTTAGCGACAAGAACATAAGCATTACTTTTCCCAGTAACTCCATTTTCTATAAGCGTCTACATATTCAAAATAAAACCGTGTCAATAAGCTTTAAAAATAGGTCATTGAGCAGTGCCATGAATTACTCTCCATAAACAGTACTTGCAACAAATAAAAGGTATGAACACAAAATCTCAGTATTACCTTTCAGATCCTTTAGCTAGAGATTAACACAATATTGCTAGTGTTCTTTTTAACACTATACAGAAGTGAACCTAAGCTACTGGGAAGGGAATTAAAGAATTAAAAGTTGCAATTCTAGCCAACTTCAAAATGAATTCAGAATGACCCTCCTTCCTTTGTACCCATTTTAAGGCACAGTACACCTACTCCTGTGCACTTTCTATCTATCTGTATTTTTACAAAAGGCTTTCTTTCCCATTGCTCATGCTAAAAAACAAGCAGGAGGTAATTGAATAGAATCAGTATCTTAAACTAAACAAACCCTGTAATCCCACATTTATCTTGCGCCTGGATGACATTTAACGGTATCAAGTAAAACAATATTGACTGTTTACCTTAAAGATAAAAGTTTAGTTCCAGCATGATTTTGGAAATATTTATTTCACAGAAGTGCAAATCCAGTGTTCAAGTAAGAAGTAAGTAACTTACTTTAAAAACTTATAAGCCACATTTAAATATTGATACAGCTGAGACAAATACACAAGCTCCAACATGTTTTAAAATAAGGTTAATATTCTATCTCATTGCTTAAAGGAAAAAAAAAAAACCCACACCAAAAAAAGACCCCCCAAAGGATGCATCTTTATTCCAAGTCACTTAAATTCAATAGCAGATCCCCCATATCCTACGATACCTTAATCAGAGTTCACAGTGAAGTACTAGTAGAACTTCTACCATTATACTAGGCATATTTACAAAGCTTTCATTTTCTCTTCCTGCAATTTGACTGCTAGCTTAAAAATATGAAAAACAGTTCTTGAAAAGCCTGTATTATTCCTTTGCATCTTAGTACTTCAAAGGAAAAGAAATTCCCCTCAACTGGGCTCTAAACAAAAGCTTTAAGTAATTTTCATCAAAGAAAATAATTTTTAAGAGAAAAGAAAATCACTTTTAAGAACTGCTGGCTTTAGCATGCCTACCATGTTAGCAGTAGTAGCACAGATGCACCAGCATAAAGCACAGCACAGGTACAAGAAGAAATGCTTTGAGATATTTGTTTTGCCTACTTCTGGAGAGAAAATTCTGTCACTAACTAGAAAGGGGACTTGAGGAGGAAGGAAAAGAAGGACATGGGAGAGAAAATTCAAGCTTATGATTTCCTTGCAAGCTACTGAAATAATAAACACTTTGCTTTTTTGCCTTTTTTTTTTTGCCCCTGCAAAACAAACCAGAAATCCCATTTATCACTGTAGGAAACAAAACTGAAGCACCACATTAAAAGCTCAGGCTACTGGGACCCCCACTCCCGTCATGGTGAATACCAATGTAAACATACCCAACATAAAATTTGTTTATTTAAGTGTTACCATACTGTAAAACTTACCAAGTCCTGCAAAACAGAATGTAGGATGTAACAAAAAGAAAAGTTATGCCACTACAGTACTTGTGGTGCTTCTGCTTCAAAATGCAATTGCAGAACCCAAATGGCCAGACTCCCCTTCAACAATGAAAAAACCCAACCTTCTAATCCATAAATTTCATAATTTATAAAAATCCAGTAGCTTTACTACATATTGGAAGTAATCTGCAGTAACAAATGCATTGAAGAAACAATGAAGAAACATCCAGTATAAGGTTAAGTAGAAACAAAATGCAAACTAGAAGTTAATTTCAAAGTAGTACCTGACTCCAAATGTGAATTTGCAATTTTTCCCCAGTATACAGATTCAGCATATCTATGTCAAAAAGTTTTAATTTCATTAATCACTTAGCCTGCTTTTATTGGCCTTTCACAAGCCATAAAAATCAGCACAAATTATGCTAAAGGAGTAATAATTCCATCTGTTCACAAACACCGATAAGAAAATGTGATAGGAAATCTCAGCTGTATGCTACACATGGAATTTATCTAAAAAAACCCCACTGCTTAATAAATCTCATCTAAGCTAGTAACTATTATTTTGTAAAAATCCATTATACCAGTGATTTAATATTAAAATATCACAGCTACTAAGACTAAGCTATTACTAAATATTGGTGGAAGTTTCATAAGGTGCATAGGTCATTTAAGAACACAGATTTAAATATCAGTATTCCTAAGTCAACCAAGGGATTTTGCTAATCCAATTGAAAAACCTCTGACAGGCAACTATGAAAGCTGTTCTTTCTCTAGGACATTTAAAAGATGACATATATTTAGCTCTAAAACATGCTGAATCTGTAAAAAAAAAAAAATTTAAAAAAATTGTATTATCACACAAGATACCGCAAATAAAGATTTAACAAACCTCGACCAGTAGAGGGCACTAGTCCAACTGTTCTGTGCATTAGGCCAGATTTGCAAGGTTTAGCGTACATACAGTTTAAAAAAAAGCCAAAAACCACTTAAAGTTGCTTGGCTACAAATCTGTGCTTGGACATCTACTTCAAATAAGATATGAAATTATGAAACATACATAACACATGTATATTTGAATAACAGTAGCCACCCAAACATGCACTCATTTTAGTTCCTCCCCCTGCCCCCCCCCCCCCCCCCCCCCCCCATCATCTGCTATGCTCAGGTATAAGTAAATAAAATACTCAAGCAGGTCATGAAACTTGGCATTTTCCAAACAAGTTATTCGTTGAATCATTAAGTCTATTCCACTGAAAACAGCAACAACATTAACATTGTAAATGCATCTGTAATTAAGTAACTAGTATATTTTTTCCTCTCTCCAACTGCACCATGCCTTCACAACATGAGAATTTTAGAAGTGTTGAGTTTCATTTTGTTAATCACAGGAAAGGTTTAAAATTATTCAATAACTGTGTAGTTATGGAATCAGCTATAGATAACAAACACTGAACTGTTTTCTCTGGCTACCCCAAAATATTTAGCTTGATTATTTATCTGTGAGGGAAAATGAGTATTCTGGCAACAGCTGTATGGCAATGACAGAAGCAGTAGTAAGTGAGAAACAATAGTAGTGACACTACTGAACCGTCTCAACTGTTATTATTTACCAGTCAAAGCAACTTTAGCCTTATTTCCTCATACTGCATAAAAAACACTCTACAGCTATTGTTCTTTGATCAGCCCACCACAACTGCATCTATACAGGAAGCACAATCAAGCAACCCTTCTCAGCTGAATGGGATTCTGCCCAGGCAAGGACTGAAGCATTTAAACCCAATTACAAGCCCATTCTCTGCAACCTGTTTGCCACTCCAAATCACACACATATAATAATCTCTTATTATAACTGAATTATTTCTTCCCTACAAGCTTACCTATATGATCATAGCACTGTGAGCGCACACAAGGTGATTTACCACAGGAGTAGGAAGATACAGTCTCCATCCTCAAGGTCTCAGAATTTACAAGACAAAAATGGTAACTAGTACTCAGACAAGAACTTGTTTGCAGAAGATTAATATTGTTGCATGCAACAAGTCATTATTATAACTGAATTATTTCTTCCCTACAAGCTTACCTATATGATCATAGCACTGTGAGCGCACACAAGGTGATTTACCACAGGAGTAGGAAGATACAGTCTCCATCCTCAAGGTCTCAGAATTTACAAGACAAAAACGGTAACTACTACTCAGACAAGAACTTGTAGGAGTTGCAGAAGATTAATACTGTTGCATGCGACAAGTCATGGGTGCTGGTAAAACCCATTAGGTTAAATGTTTCTTTCTTTCAGAAGAACATACTGATTCTGGACCACACCACAGTGTTACAGTCATCCTGCACACTACCAAATAAAAGCCACAGTTCTGGGATTTTAGGTTCTTTCTATAAGGAACTGTATTTTCATTTTATTATTTTACATTAAAATGTATTTGGTATTCCTCAAAATACTCAGCTTGTTGATTAACAAAATCCCTCAAGTGATTTAGGAATACTGGCATTTAAGTTTTTGTGTTCCTAAATCGTTTACACAGTTCTGGCTTTATATGACAACTTGTAACACAGAACCTCCACAGTATTTTTTGTAATGCGTAAACACACCTCTAGCCTAAGAGAAACCCACATGATTATGAACAAGTATTACAAACACCAACATCCTCCAAAGTTCCTTTTGCAGGAAAAAGTAGGATCCCATTTTGTTTGTTCCTCCCAATGAGTTTTGCGTGTTTTCTGTTTTTTAAGCGTGTTTTGGGTTGTTGTTTTAAGACTTCACATCTCAGTAACTGAAAGAGCTGCTCTCATAGCGCAAGTCACACACTCTTCCTCCCTCCATAGGTCTATTCACAAAATCTTCTACAAGCATACATGAGGTTACTTGGCCATGCAACAGAGAGACAAGACGACACACAGGCACATTAAGGTAAACTCAAACTCAAGCCAACGCATCTCTATTTAGGGCACATTAACTCAGGCCTGTACTTCGCTGAAGTAAGACAGCTTCCTACCATCTCAAAGGAAGAAGCCTACTGGCTCCTTTTGCTTATGTCTACCTGAAAATGACTACATAGTCATTTTCGAATTCACCATTTTAAGCCGAGATTTAAACCTTTGTAATTCCTTCAGGTGAGCTTGGAAGTGCCTCATTGTATAAACATATAAATGAAGTCATAAGCTACAGAGCTTCAGTGCTGGGAATATAAAAATCTTGGGTAAATTATAGTATCATTTCTCCTTTTATACGGTCTGAGGATATTAAATCCAACGATCCACAGGAGACTTCAGACAACACTAGTATTTTTCTTATATTTAAAATGCTCATTAAAAACCCTTTAAAATATCGCAACTTTTAAAGCTTAATATAATTTCAGATTTTGAGGAACTGTGCCATGTATTTTGAAGAATCCACTATAGCAGCTATCTTACAACATTTTTTCCTAGACACAGAAACGCACACTGGTGTGTTTAAAAAAAATACAATCAGGCTCCAAATTTTTGCTTCATTCACCATAACATTCCAGGACACATTTCTCACTGTGTAAAACAGATCCTAACGATAGGAGCTGAGAAAGCTTGACACATACATTTCAGAACTACAAATTTTCCTTCTTGATATCAAAAAGGAAGGTCACATTTAAGAGGTGGCATGCAAAGCCATGAAGAGTTTTGCCAAACGTTTTCAAGTGAATTTGGCAAATACTTTGTCACCAAGATCCTAAAAACATGCATCCAAACTGTCCAACAAAACATGGCGATTAACACCATACTTTAATTGAGCAAAATTGTTAATTTTTTACTGCAGCTGTTCTTCCACAGCCAGATCAAGCAGCGCAGCGATTTCTTCTCCAATGCTGGTGCGATGGTGACCGTTACCTTTGAGCTCTTTTTATTATAAAGCCTTGTTCTATGTTTTTGTGGTAACTGTCCAAAAGTAAACAACTACCATTATTACTGATAATCTCTCTTCACAAAAAGTATGATAAAATTGGTTACCTCTATTGTAGGGTCATATTCATCCACAAAGTGATTCTGAATTAGCTGTATTGTCAAGGCGCTCTTGCCTACACCACCAGCTCCAACGACAACAAGTTTATATTCTGTCATTTTTTAGCAGACCTGATGACAAAGAAACCAACATTAAGCAGAAAGAGTCAGGCTCCGACTAAACGAGGATGCTGTTGGTGCGTTTTCTTTCAGTATCACGTTCCTTTACTATTACCGGAAAGCAACTCCCTCCCTGAAAGACAAGACAAAAAGCTGTGAGGGAATGCTCTTTCTCAAACAAAATTATACATAGGAAGCATAGCGTGCGCACTAAGCTGAAAGGCACCGATTACAAAGAGATAAAAAAGCAAGGCTTACACTAAATTCTGAAAAAGGTCGAGGAGTATTTCTTGCGGGGCAGAGATTTTGTTCACCACTGCTTTCTCCCAAAGCCCCGGTGACTCTGGAAGACCTCCCGGATTTTGACGAAAGCCGGGCCAAACCGAGCGCCCCTCAGGTTGAGCCACAAACCCGGCAACCCGCCTCCTGCAAACGGCTGGGACGGGACAGGCTCGGCTGCGAGCACAGCTTCACCTCCCCACTTGTTTTTTTTCCCCCCGGGCGAGCCCAGCGCGACCGCCCC